AATCACCAAAAAACACACTCGGGCGAGAAGCCATTCAAGTGCTCTGTGTGTGGGAAGGCATTTTCACAGAAATCAAATCTTCACAGTCACCAGAAAACACACTCGGGCGAGAAGCAATTCAAGTGCTCTCTTTGTGGGAAGTCATTTGCATGGAAGTCAGCTCTTCACAGGCACCAGAAAACACACTGGGGTGAAAGCCATTAAATTGCTCTACGAGGGAGAGGACATGTTCACAGTCATCACCCCGAAACAAGCATCAGAAGATCCGCAATGATAGGGAAGTGAAATCAAAAAGTGAAATGCAAAGTGCTGCAATGAGTCCTGAAAAAATGCATCTTTAGAACCTATGCAGGTCGATCCTGAGAGATGGCTGAATGTAGTGGAAGTAATGATTCCTGACGACAATGCATCTTTCGACCCCATGCAGTTGGATCCTGAGAGATGGCTGGATGTAGTGGAGTGGCTGAAGACTCAAACGTATTGAGTACATCTGTTAACTGTTGCCCTGTGTATATTCGTGTCTCTTAGATATATTTTTTCAGTCATTTCCAGTACTCCGAGCTATAATGATGTTGTGAATACTCTATAATGTGTTCAGATGAAAGTATTACTTTAAGTTCCAGAAGTGTTCACTTATTTCAGGATGGCAACAATTTTATACTCCGATTGATACATTGCTTCGTCTGGTAGTTGGATCATCGGGGCTGTTAAATGGCTGGTGCTTATGCTATAAGGTGGCATGTGTTGTAATTTTCTCACAGCAAATGATGTGAGCGTGCTGTCTTGTTTATTCCAGACTTTGTCACGTTAAGGTGATGCTTCGCAGTCCTATCGGATTACTTGTTGATGTGGTGTGATGCGCAGTGGTTTTGAGGTGGTTCAATTACTGATTTTACTCTCGTTGTTAAGTGATTTTGTTGAGCTAAAGTTTAAGAAAGACTGTGATGATAACTTTGCTCAATATAAAAAAGAATCATTTTCCTCATTGTTTAATAAAAAACTACTGCAGATTATCGGTTTCAGGATGTACATGGATTTCAGGTTCGTTGTTCCTGTATTTGATGGCTTTGACTTCAGGATGAATAGCTTCAATCGATTAGGACGTCAATGGGGAATGATAAATCGACGTTTGCGTGTTTGATTTTTAGAATATTTTAAACTATTAAATTCCTGAAAGTAAAATAATTTGTCTCGTTCCTTAACTGTTTGAACAAACGAATATTAATAAAGATTTCGATACGAGTTTTAACGTCAATATTCTTGCAGATTAATAAAAACCTGATTTGTTTTTAAATATGACTGATCGTATGTTATTGCTACCATATCCTTCCTTAAAAAAATACGGACGAGTAGACATGCACACACGAGTGTGCATCCAAGCACCACTATATATATACAGCGATGTGCATACACACACGAGTGTGCATATACAGGGGTGTACATACAGACATACAATGCAGTGTACATACACACGCGAGTGTGCATGCACAGCATTATTAACGTTCATATATTTTTTCAGATGAATAAAAATCTGATTTTTTTAAAGGATACTAAGGCTAAGCACATCCGAGGATTGCACTTTTGTTAAAAAATGAAGCTGTAAAAATGTGTCTATTATTGGCCAAAAACGGCATGTTAGTATTCCGATTTTCTATACTGGGACGTGAACATTTCATCATAAAATGTTACACTTGTAATCTAATACATGGCACACTAAGGGTAAATACAATTGATTAATGCACTTTTTGTTGAAAAATGAAGCAATGAAAATTTGGCTTATTTTGGTTAAAACTGGCATAAGTATCCCCGACTAGCAGTTGCCGCCCGCTTCGCGGGCGGTGTGTACATGCTTGGTTGGTGGGGAGTTGAAAGTGGCTGGACACAATATACATGTTTTGGTGATTGCTTTATGTTTATTTTTGTGAGGTTATATGTATTTTAATGAGACGCTCAATCGACATTATTCAATAATGCAACTTAATCAAATATAGAATGCAACTTATTCAAATATTTGGCGATTCACGATATTCTTCGTGTACACTCCGTCTTCCTCCTCGTCGTCAGGTCCCTCAATAAGCGCCTTGATGTTGGATCTTGCCGTGACTCGCGATAGTGCCACGTACAGTTGGCCGTGCGAGAAGCATGGAGTTGGTAGATATAATCCCAGGTTGTGAACAGTTTGCCCTTGCGCCTTGTTGATGGTCATCGCGAATGCTGGGACAATGGGGAACTGTTTGCGCCGAAGTCGAAATGGGAAGTCCTTCGTGTCCAATTCGCGGCAGATATGGTTGTTCTCAAGCAGCGAGTCCAAGACCAAGTGTGGGTACTCGGAAAGCTGCGGGAGGTCGTCAAAGTCCGACAGAGCCATCCCACCTGCCGTGAGGAACTCGTGGAGGCTGTGAAGGGTCTTGAACTTTACCATTTTTTTTTATTTTCTTTGATGCTGCTAATCCTGCATAATGCACGGGTATAAGTAGTACTAATCACATACCTGCATTTCCCATATCCCCTCCCTTTGATGCTGCTAATCCTGCATAATGCACGGGCATAAGTAGTACTAATTACATACCTGCATTTCCCATAAATATGCAAATTGCTCTTGATATGCAAATTATTTTGTCAAGGCGCCCTTTCCCCCCCTTCCAACCCAGCTTACATATATGCTCCAAGCACGTGTGCTGTTTCATTCAGACGCTGTCGCCTCGACAGACCTGGTATTTTATTACTTCCCTTGTACGTGACTTTAGCGAAAGAACCAAGAAGATTTCGCATTTCTTCTTTGTTGGTCAGCTGGCGGTACTGGTACTCGTAATCGCGAGCCAATTCGTCATATAATTTATCCCAGAGAGCCTTCGTATCTGCTGGCATGGAATACAACAGAATGGTAGCGAAGAGTTGACGAAGCTGGTACGGCATCTGAAAGAGCGAGGCTTCTTCCAGACACGCAACCCATTCGAGATCGCTCTCAATGTAGCCTGCTCGCATGGCTGCTTCCAGCGGTTTGTTTTGTTTAATTTTATTCGTAACGCACCATCCATATGCGCTCCACCATCCACCATGCCCTTGCATGGCAAAGACACAGCTCCGGTGTGCGTCAGCGTGTGCGCCATCCACAGTGACATTGGTCAGAAATTGCACCGTTCCGATCGCACACAGGTTAGCCCCTGCATCCTCCGTCTGTATGTACACACACAGACAAATCCGTTATGGGGCCACCTATTTTTTTCTTATAAAAAACATTTTGTTGGTGTTTTTACGTTTACGTATTCCCATTGTGGGTGTTTTACGCATGCATCAGATTTTTGGGTTCCTCACATATGATATCAGAGGTGTGGGTCACTCCATTTCTCAATTGAACAATAACGGGGATCGTTTCAGTTATGACAGCTTGCAGATAGAAACATTGCATGATCGTATACTAATAATGACAGAATTTGTACCCCAGTGGAGGGCATCCCCCACCCGGCGCTTCTTACCGGTACTGTGAGACTTAGAAATCCAGACCTCTCCTCCTCCGGAACCGTTCACAATACCCTGTGATAGTACCATAATCATCTCAATAAAGCGATCACTTTCCAATGGCCATTTTGATCCCAGGAGTTACCCGGGTGGTGTCACACTGTACTGATTGTTTTAGCATGTCGCAAATTCCGATATGGCTTGTGCAACGGCCAGAGAGTGACAGCGGCGGGGGCTGGGCTGCAACCTTTTTTGATAGTTTATTAAATTTCAAAGTGCATGGGATTGGCACTCCAAAACATGATAAATGTACAGTAACGCCAACTGCATCCGTGCCAAACATGATACGCGGACACATGCTGCATATTATGCAACACATGCCCTTACCAGCAGCAGCATGCACAACATCTGAATTACACAACCGAAGTAGACAGCAAGCCGTCCATGGAGACGTGATCAACGTCAATACATAATAATGGTAATAAGCCGGATAAACCGAAAAGTACCCATTGTACCCATCAAACAGTCAGCTGGGTTGCCCCATGGGGGTATTGACCCATGGGCGAAACTGTAGGGGTGCGCTACGCAACTGGCCGTGGTCCCGGCAGGTGAAGCTGCCAGCTCAGTCCGCTAAGACTTACTGTATAGCGACCCCTGCCTACTCGTAAGGTAAATGTGTTTGGGGACTCCACTAATCGCAGCACGCAGCACCCATTTTTTACATAAATAAACGTAATATTAGCGTAACTACCATTCGCACACTCGCATACACACCACACTCACACAGCGCAGGGTCTGCGCCCACAGTGCACTGCAGCACTGCGGCGCAGACCTTGCCAAACCTATGCTATCGCTCTCTTCCGGGCGTGTTAATTATTTATTTTTATCGAATCAAAGTGAGCTGTGGCTTTTTGCCGGCTGTTTTATTTTCATCGAATCAGAGCGAGCTGTTTGGGCGGGTCCGTAAATAAATTAACTTCCAGATACGCACGCAGACGACCAAACCAGCGTAGTTGTTTAAGATTTTCTTTTTGGGACGTGACAATTTCATGGTGAAATTTCCCACTTTTAAGGTAATATATAGGCTACTCAGGCAAAACACAACCGAGGAATGCACTTTTCGTTGAAAAATAAAGCTAGGAAAATTGGACCAATTTTGCCAAAAAACGGCCTAGGTTAGTATGGCGATTTTCTTTTTATGGACGTGAAAATGTCATCGTGAAATGTCGAGAGCCAAGCCACAACATCTACAAAGTGCTGCTCACAGCGAGTAGCACCGATGGAGGTCGTCACGGCACACACAGAGGGGGTGGGTGGCCAGCACCACGCCCGGCCGCCTTTGTCTCCCCAGTGCGAGCGATGTTGACACACCACACCGGGGACTCGTTTGAGGCCGATTCAACACGCTCCCTTTCTGTCAACAAACTTGAACTCTGACCCTGCTCTCTGACGTCACCGCTCAGCGTGACCTCATCGGCATCAAACGCCAGGGGGAGGTGTACCCCGCAAGTGACGTCATGTCACCTGCTGCCGCGTGACGTCGCGAGGGACCAGGAAGTTGCCGCTCCGCCCGTGAACTGAAATCCGAGGTGAGAAATTATCATCGCGGTTGTGGTGGTGGTGGTGCTTGTGGTGGTGGTGGTGGTGCTTGTGGTGGTGGTGGTGGTGCTTGTGGTGGTGGTGGTGCTTGTGGTGGTGGTGGTGGTGCTTGTGGTGGTGGTGGTAGTGCTTGTGGTGGTGGTGGTGGTGCTTGTGGTGGTGGTGGTGGTGCTTGTGGTGGTGGTGGTGGTGCTTGTGGTGGTGGTGGTGGTGGTGCTTGTGGTGGTGGTGGTGCTTGTGGTGGTGCTTGTGGTGGTGCTTGTGGTGCTTGTGGTGGTGGTGGTGCTTGTGGTGGTGGTGCTTGTGGTGGTGGTGCTTGTGGTGGTGGTGCTTGTGGTGGTGGTGGTGGTGCTTGTGGTGGTGGTGCTTGTGGTGGTGCTTGTGGTGGTGCTTGTGGTGGTGGTGGTGCTTGTGGTGGTGCTTGTGGTGGTGCTGCTTTTGGTGGTGCTTGTGGTGGTGCTGCTTGTGGTGCTGCTTGTGGTGCTGCTTGTGGTGCTGCTTGTGGTGGTGCTGCTTGTGGTGGTGCTGCTTGTGGTGGTGCTGCTTGTGGTGGTGCTGCTTGTGGTGGTGGTGGTGCTTGTGGTGGTGGTGCTTGTGGTGGTGGTGGTGCTTGTGGTGGTGGTGCTTGTGGTGGTGGTGCTTGTGGTGGTGGTGCTTGTGGTGGTGGTGCTTGTGGTGGTGGTGCTTGTGGTGGTGGTGCTTGTGGTGGTGGTGGTGCTTGTGGTGGTGGTGGTGCTTGTGGTGGTGGTGGTGCTTGTGGTGGTGGTGGTGCTTGTGGTGGTGGTGGTGCTTGTGGTTGTTGTTGTGGTGGTTGTTGTTGTGGTTGGTGTGTACCGAGGTAGAGCCTCGCTCTCTCTCTCGTCGGGATGTCAATTCAGTAGCAGCGAGCATGGAAGCGATGTCCAGGTTGGAACTTTACAACGCGGGGCCTTGCCTCCTGCCCTCGCCTGATCGCGTTTGCTTCAATTCTGTCACTTAGAGTTGTGTTTTTTGTTTGCGTTCCGACTGCAGGTATTGTGGTCTATGCAAACATGACTCCTCGTAAAAAAAGGTGTCAGTTTTCTTGCCAGATAGAAGAATAAAAAAACAATTATATCTCGCTTAAGTTGAATTTATCTTCACTCGGCTCCCCACTTTGTAACTTTGTTTTACTTTAAATATTAACACAGTTTTTATTTTTACCAGGCCAAGCCCGCTTGAGCTGCTGTACCGCTCTTGTTTTCAGAAGCGACCCGCCCACAACAACAAGGTGAGGCTCGTCAACAGCGTGGCGGTGTTCACTCTGGACGCGTGGCGGTGTTCACTCTGGACGCGTGGCGGTGTTCACTCTGGACGCGTGGCGGTGTTCACTCTCTGCATGTGGAGTGGGGACAACCGGGGGATCCGGAGGGAAATCCACGCGACCACGGGAAGAGAGAAAGACACACAAACTAAATATACAGCAGGCGTCAGAGTTTGGATGAACCCACGACTTCCTGTATGCCAGGAGAGGTAGTTAACATCTCACCACGGGGAGCGAGAGAGACACGCAGCCTCGGCGGTGTTGATTAATCCTCATTGAATTACTTTGTGGAGTCAGGAAGCATTAATAGTGAGCGGATGAAGGTGGCTAGGCATGGGTCTGGACACACCTCTTAACCATGCCAGTGTGTGACAGTGTAAAGTTTGTGTTTGCAATAAAGTCTATTAACTCTATTGAACACGGAGGTTATATCACAACAATAGTTTGTTTTTGTTTTCCTCTGGAACTTTATAAGAATGGAAACAGTCAAGAAGTTAACACAGCACACACATGCAGCTGAAGTCAGATCTGTTAATTTCAGCGTGCAAGAACATCGTGAGCCTGGCTGGCTTCACACCTCTAAGTTGCGATTGAACATTAATATTATGCATTTTTGCATAACACAAATAGTATCATTTTCAACACCTTTTGCTATGTCAGCTAAATTTAGCTTTCATAAATATTCCTTTTGTAGCTAGACAGCCAAAATTGTGTGCTCGGAGTTTTGGGTTAACATTCATTTTGAAGATTCGAGTGCTTCCAGGCATGTTTATGACCATTCGCCCTCTCATTGCGTGCCAGAACAGCCCATGTGATGAATTTGGGAAACTTTTTCACTATATCATGAATATATGAATAAGTGTCGACTTATAAGTCATGTGTTACTGTGTAAATATGCATTCCTATGTGCATTGATACTGACGTGGATATAACTTTTTTTCTGTCTGCAGCTGTCGCTTCCTCTGTCGAATTTGTCTGATGGAGCAAAGGCACTCGGCGCGGCTCGGTGCAAAAAGGCATCAATGCGACCAGTGTGCATACAGCACGGATTATATTAGACATTTGACACAGCACCAGAGAACTCACACAGGAGAGAAACCCTTTAAGTGCAGTGTGTGTGGGAAGGCGTTTTCAGATTCATCTACTCGTGTAATACACCAGAGAACACACACGGGAGAGAAACCCTTCAAGTGCAGAGTGTGTGGGAAGGCGTTTGCATGTTCATCTAATCTTGTAAAACACCAGAGAATGCACACGGGAGAGAAACCCTTCAAGTGCAGAGTGTGTGGGAAGGCGTTTGCAGAGTCATCTACTCTTGTAATACACCAGAGAACACACACGGGAGAGAAACACTTCAAGTGCAGTGTGTGTGGGAGGGAGTTTGCACGTTCATCTACTCTTGTAATACACCAGAGAACACACAAGCATCAGAAGATCCACAAGGAGTGGAGTCTGAAATCAGCTTGCGAAAGTCAAAGTGCCGCAATGAGCCCATCCCTCATCAAACAAGAACCGGAAGACAATTTCGGCTTGGACGATGTTAAAGGTATCGAGGTGAAACATGAAGAGGTGCAGGTGAAATGTGAAGAAGTGATGGTGAAGAGCGAAGAAGTGAAAGTAAAATGTGAAGATAAAGATTCAACTCCAAAATCGGACCTTCACATCGATGGAGGCAACGTGAAGCAGGAGGAGAATTCTGACTGTGAGGCAGAGCGAGGCAACTCCCAGCAGTTTGTGGAAGTGGAGGTGTGGGTGGACTTCCTCCGAGAAAATACAAAGTCAAATGGAGACCCGGTAGATGCGTAAGCTTGAGACGATGTCGCTCCAATCGATGCACCTTTGTCACAGGCCTTTAATGACAAGAATGTGAAGTTGAACACTCAGTTCCTAGGTTCAACCTGCAGGGTAAGAGCAGCCAGTTCTTGTAAACCTGTGTGTTGGGTAGATCTCTAACCAGGAGCGGGAGCCAATAAGCTCCCCAGCATTCACTATGTTATCAATTGTATTTATATGGTGCTTGCTTAATCGCCCCGGCAATTCGGAGTTTTGTATCGTATCTCGTCTCAACCACTCGAAGAGCATCCCCAAGTAGCAGCTGCCCCTGTGTGGCACAAGGTGGTGGCCCTGCACCGGCCTACATGTGGACAAGAGCCTGTCAGTAGGGGGCGATGGTTGATGTGGCATCTCAGTTGTGGAGTTTGTAATGTTTAGCATTTGATCAATTTTGACCCAGACGCCAGCATGCAATGGCCGACTCGTTTTGAATGACACAATAGTATGTTGTACATACACTGTTAAGCAGACGGTGGTATCATTTAAAATAGCTACTTGTTAATATGATGTAACCTGATGCAGCATATTTCAGTGCAGTAATTCAATTTTGTTAAAATGACTCAATAAGTTAGAATGATTACTTGTCTGATGGTGTGCGTACATGTAACATTTTGTCTATAAGGGTCAAACATTGAATAAGTCATGTTAGGACACAGTTTGTGTTTTGAAGTAACCTGTACAGGATCACTCAGGTGAGACTCCTTCGTGTGATACAGGTCAAAGGGTATTTTCGTGTTTTCAGGACGCATCTCCCTCTGGAGCAACTCATTGTCTTTCAAATAGGGAGCACACTTGGATAATTCATCTGTTAAAAGGAATACCACTCAAAAGTTACACGTAGAGGAGATACATTCTCTACAACACGAATTATAATTTTGTATTACGTGTTGACGTAGATTTTGTCGAATTAGGACGAGAAATGGTCCTTGCCGATTAAAGTCTGGATGTTCACAACCATGGGTTGAAGCAAGCCTGACCGCCTGCGGTGCCCCTCACAACCATTTACGGCCTTGGGCCAGGAAAGTCACAAAAAAAATAGCACACGAACGACGCATCCGCGCAAGCACCCGATGCTCCGTTTTGAAGTTTGAAAATGAAACAACTTTGAATTATTCATTGAAAACGACATTTCGTGTAAATTTTATCTCGTCGTTAAGTAGATGGCCTTGCTGGGGATTTCATTCGATGCGGACTTTCACCTGGTTGGGATCGCTGGATTGAGATGAGGCGACACAGAGCTGGCCGTGCGAGAAGACCGCCGTCTGCAGATCAATTCCAACGTGATCGAACGTCTGTCCCTGCGCCTCCGTCGTTCATGCAGGGGGCGCGTAGGTTTACAGCGCCCCCTGCATGAAAACGACAGAAAGTGCAGCGTTCATTACAGTTAAAGTAGTGTGCTTATATATAAATTCATTTTTTGTCTGTCTGTGTGTTCACGCGCTTGCGAGGGATTTGTCTCTCTAACAGTGGGGTTTACGAAAAAAATTTGCCCGGTACCACGCCGGAAGCCCTGCGGTTGGCAAGCACTATTCGTTTTTCACATCCGTCACCATTAAATTAGTTTAATTAGCGATTTTGTGCGATATTTATTTATTTATGTAGTTTTGCCGCACGATGCGGGACAAAGCACGCAATTGCGCCCCTAGCAACGCACACACGATCGATAAAAAAATCTCATTCGCGTTAACAATGCTTAAAAAATATACACACAACGCTGAGGTTCATTCTTCAAAGTCTTATGTCCCCCCCACCCCAATGCGTGCAGTTACTGCTATAAAGTCCGTAGATATTAATATTAGAGCGCTTAGATGGCATTGTTGCAGCGCGGGTGGGGAGAGCGGCCCAGCCCCCAGCCTGGCAATGTGTCACCTCCTCTGGCTTGGCAATCTAGGCGAGGCCGCGGGCTCTGCATGGGACTAGGCCCCACCACGGCAATGTGAAGTAGAATTTTATTTAATCTTTCGCTAAGAACTCAAGTTTATTGTTTACTATTATGAAACAAATAAGTTAGCAAATATTACAATAAAAATGTTTGTGTGTAGAAAACTAATATTGCACTATTTGGTTGCTAAATATGTTCTTGTTTAGCTGTGTTTCTATGAAGCTGAGACGGTGTACTGCCAGTCCGTGCTGTTACCTGCTGCCTGCTCATTAATTAACGTCGGTGCACTGGCACCATTTTGGCGAATTGCCCGATGATGCGAAACGTCGTACTCAAAAATTGTAAATGTTGTGGATTCACTCTTCAACACACCGGTGGTCTAAAGTAGGGAACTTTTGTCTTTGTCAACGTGACAGTTTTTTGCTGATTGGCCGTGTCGGGTGGTGGAGGATTACGACACATAAATAATAACGCGATCTAACCCAAAAATGTTTGTAATAAATAATATTGGTCGCGAAAGCCTACATGTTAAACTATTATCTACACTGCTAATTTTGCTTTTGGGCATTGAGTGTATGCCAGTCTATAATCTGTTGCCTGCTTCTTTACCTCACTCGGTGTACTGCCAGCCTTTCATGTTGACTGTATCCTGCTTTATCAGCTGCTGACCATATTGCCAGCCTTTTATGTCGACTGTAGCAATGCTTGTGTCATTGAGTCGGCGTACTGGCAGTCTATAATCTAGACTGTAGCCTACTTCTCAACTTAGCTCTGCGTACTGCTGCTCTTTAATGTAAGCTTATTTCATCTTATTTCTTCAATGCATTTCTATTGTTTCGATTGCACACGTCACGCTATTTACTGATACGTAGTACTGCGATGCCGATTAATATGTTATACTGCTAAATACGTTGGATTTTCTTAGCTACAGCCCATTGCATTTCGTCTATCGTTTTGTTACATTCGTGGGAACATCACCCATTTAAATTTTGTCGTACCGCACCTTTACTTTCCACCAAAGCGGGGAGCACGCAGGGAGGTTCAATGCCCCAAATATTGTTGACCTTGCTTTCTTACGGTGGGTGAGGAACATTGTGAGAGAGACATTGTTCTTCCATACCAAGAAAACACCATCGCACAATTTCTTGACACTAACAGAGCATACAATGCCCTACAATAACACATTTTCTTGTCGCAAGGCCAAGATGGGTACCACGTCAAGATTCCTCCAATTACAAATTTGCAGGACAAAGACATCCTTACGAAACTGTCTCGTCTAAAAAAACTTCTATTCCTTCGTGATCATGGACAGAGGAGGACACCACATTGTGGTGCGCCAACCTCTATCACCAATATGTTGTCGATGAGTATGCCAACATTGAGAGTGAGCGCCTTTTACATTCTACTGAATCAAAACCGCCTGTGTGTGAACAGTATGCTCATCTCTGGGACGCCATCAATTCCGAAGGAGATGCAAACTGTTACAATGTGGGCTGATTAGTTGTTTTGCCTTCATCCTTCACAGCTCCACCAAGATACATGCATGAGAAAACTCGGGATGCCATGACGTACATCAGCCAATATGCCACTCCCCATCTCTTCATCACATTCACTTGCAATCACAAATGAAAGGAGATCCAGGTTTACCTTCATCCAATCCAAAAGCCACCAGACAGACATGACATCTTAGTGAGGGTCTAAAACTCAAAGTTTATGACCTCATGATGCTTATTATGACCAACGAAGGCGGCGTGTTTGGATAGACAAGCAGTAACTTGCACACCGTTGGGTGGCTAAAACGTCGTCCACCTCGTGCTCACATTTCGCTATGGATGAGGGAAACAATTCATGCAAGTCACATTGACACATTAATCAGTGCTAAGCTATCTCACCCCCATCCAGACCCTGCTTTTTTTTCTGTGCGGTCTGCAACCAAATGGTCCATGGCCCATGTGCCCAGTTCTAGCCAAATGCGCCATGTATGCAAGACCACAGGTGTACCAAAAGGTATCCACGGAACTACTTGCAAGACACTCAGTGATGGCTATCCTCGATATCGTCACAGAAATACTAAGCATGGTGGATTTCAAACAATGCTCAGACCTGCCACTAACTCGCTAATGAAGGTTCACAACCGGTGGATCGTTCCCTACTGCCCTGTACACACACACAGTGTGTACACACACACACACGGTGTGTACACACACACACACGGTGTGTACACACACACACAATAATGTCCACGTTGTTGAGCTGAGCTCACACACCCAAGGGGTCCCTGTTCAAGGGAGGGAGCGATGAAAAATGAATCTAAATCAACTTAAACTCCAACCCCGCTCTGTGACGTCACCATTCATCATGACCTCATCGGTGTGAAACGCCAGCGGGAGGTGTGCCTCGCTAGTGGCGTCATGTCACCAAAGTATTCACCACACCCCGCCCAACGGGCCCTTGAGCGTGACGTCATCTCTGCCTGGGTCACTTCCGTTATATGTTCAAGTACTATGCTTATTTGGGCAAAGCCACACCCAGTGACTGGTGGTTCATTAACATAATTTATTCGTGAAAGACGTCACGAGTTCGTTGTGACCTGTTCGGCACCCACGCCCATCCCTCCACGTGTGGGCCAGGCTCAATAACATAATTTATGTAAGTTACAGAGCCGCTCATTGTGGGAGGGGAGTGTCTTGTACCACGCAAGTGACGTCATGTCACCTGCTGCTGCCGCGTGACGTCACGAGGTAACGGAAAGTTGCCGCTCCGCGCGGGAACTGAAATCCGAGGTGAGAAATTCTCATCGCGGTTGTGGTGGTTGTGGTGGTGGTGGTTGTGGTGGTGGTTGTGGTGGTTGTTTACCGAGGTAGAGCCTCGCTCTCTCTCTCGTAGGGATGTTATGTGAGTAGCAGCGAGCATGGAAGCGATGTCCTGATTGGAACTTTACAACGCGGGGCCTTGCCTCCTTCCCTCGCCTGATGGCGTTCGCTTCAATTCTCTCGCTTAGTTTAGCAATTTCGATTTAAAGCTTTCGTGACTTCCGGGTATTCATCTCCTTGGTTCTTTTGGTAAAGTCACGTAGAATGGAAATAATAAAATACAAATTTTTTAAACAAAATAATACGAATAAAACATAACAGTTTATTATGTTTTATATCACGTAGAATGGAAATAATAAAATAATAAAACTAATATTAGGTTTTATATGTTTATTATTTTATTATTTCCATTCTACGTGACTTTACCGAAAGAACCAAGAAGATAGTTTAGCAACCTGTGAAAGAACGCGATCAGCCAGGCGATGCGTTAGTTGTGTTAACTCGAGATGTGACGCTTTCGTGACTGCCAGGATTCATACTCTTAGGTTTTTTTCGGTAAAGTCACCATGTAGGTAAAAAATGAAATAAAAATTCATAAAAGTAACAATAGAAATAAAATATGAAATAAATCACGACGTTTCGGAGGCAACACAAGTCTCCGTCATCAGGTGGCACCGTCACAGCCAGATTTGCTGCATCAAGTGAGGCGTGATTTTTTATTTATTTCTATTTTTACTTTTATTAATTTTAAATTCATTTGTTACCTGCATGTTGACTTTACCGAAACAACCTAAGAGTCTGTTAGTTGGTGTGTTGACCGACTCTCTGTGTTGCATTACATTTGAAATGTTAAGTTTGTTTGATTAAGTGTCTCTCTCTGTGTGCAGTCACCAAAGCTCCAAATCTCTCATTGACACAAGGCCGTAATTATAATGTTATAATAAATATAATATATTAATTATAATGTTATAATAAGTATAATATGTTATAATTATAACATGTTATAATAATCATAATATGTTATAATAATTATAATAATCAAATATGCCCCTCCAATATATTGCTGTAAAATATTTGTAAATAATAATTGCGATGCTCTGTTAATAAAAACAACAATTTGCTAAACCTTGGCCACGAAATCTGGACTTGTCTTCATATAACAATGCATAGATTTCTGTTTATATGATTGCGTTGTACTTTATGAATCCCTAATCTCTGCCATTACATACTATGAAACAAGGAAAGGTAAAAAAAGAAAAAACAGAGCAATGTAATACAATACACTATTAGGACATTATTGTATAAAATAAAACAAATTCCATCCCATGTGCTAGTGAACTTTTACAAATATTTTAGGGAGGAAAATGCAGGAAATGAGTTTTCAATTTTAGATATTTTTCTGGGGGGGGACCCCAGACCCCCTGCAAGATTTGGTCCCCCCAATGTTGACTCCGTGGCTACGGCCTTGCATTGACATGCTAATTTCTCTACCCCCCCCCCCCCTCTCTACCCCCCCCCCCCCTCTCTCTCTAAGGCCTCGACACAGGCGTTGTTTCTCTGTGTGTCTCTGTGTGTGTGTGTCTCTCTCTGTGTCTGTCATGTCTCTGTGTGTGTCTCTCTCTGTGTGTCTGTGTCATCTCTCTGTGTGTCTCTGTGTCTCTGTGTCATCTCTCTCTGTGTCTATGTGTGTGTCTCTCTCTCTGTCTTTCTGTCATCTCTCTCTGCTTATGTGTCTGTCTATGTGTCTCCGTGTCTGTGTTTTGTCTCTCTCTCAAATTGAGAAATCTTTGGAAGAACGTTATCAACCTGTTGGGGTGTTGACTGTTATGTTAGCTGACTCTCTGTGTTGTATTGCATTACATTTCTAAGTTTACTAGGTTTTTTTTCTCTTTCATTTGTACCTGATGATGATTGCTTGTATTGCAATTGAAACGTTGTATGCTATTTGCACACAGCGTTGGTTTTAGGTGCTTTTTGTGGAATATTTTGCTGTTTTTCCCTGGATTTTCATGTTTGCACAGTCACTTAGTCACTTTAAGATGTTTTCTCGTTCATGTTTTTGTTTGTTGCGGTTGCATCCGATTCAAGAGCCGAATGGCTCACGGGGCTATACCAAATAAATGAAACTGAAACTATAATTTTATTTATTTATTTATTCTACGTGACTTTACCAAAAGGACCAAAGAGTATCTTGCTTAAGTTTTAATTTCTCTTCGCCTGGCTCGCTACTTTGTAACTTTGTTTTATTTTAAATATTCGCAGTTTTTTTTCTTCATTTTTTACCAGGCCACGCCCGCTTGAGCCTGCTGTACCGCTCTTGTTTTCAGAAGCGACCTGCCCACAACAACAATAACAAGGTGAGGCTTGTCAACAGCGTGGCGGTGTTCACTCTGGACGCGTGGCAGTGTTCACTCTGGACACGTGGCGGTGTTCACTCTGGACACGTGGCGGTGTTCACTCTAGACGCGTGGCGGTGTTCACTCTAGACGCGTGGCGGTGTTCACTCTGGACACGTGGGGGTGTTCACTCTAGACGCGTGGCGGTGTTCACTCTAGACGCGTGGCGGTGTTCACTCTAGACGCGTGGCGGTGTTCACTCTGGACACGTGGCGGTGTTCACACTGGACGCGTGGCGGTGTTCACTCTCTGCATGTGGAGTGGGGACAACCGGGGGATCCGGAGGGAAATCCACGCGACCACAGGAAGAGAGAAAGACACACAAACTAAATATACAGCAGGCATCATGGTTGGGATGAATCCACGACTTCCTGTATGCCAGGAGAGGTAGTTAACATCTCACCACGGGGAGCGAGAGAGACACGCAGCCTCGGCGATGTTGATTAATCCTCATTGAATTACTTTGTGGAGTCAGGAACCATTAATAGTGAGTGGATGAAGGTGGTTAGGCATGGGTCTGGACACACCTCTTAACCATGCCAGTGTGTGACAGTGTAAAGTTTGTGTTTGCAGTTAAGTCTATTAACTCTATTCAACACGGAGGTTATACTGTATCGCAACAATAGTTTGTTTTTGTTTTCCTCTGGAACTTTATAAGAATGGAAACAGTCAAGAAGTTAACACAGCACACATGCAGCTGAAGTCAGATCTGTTCATCCCAGCATTCAAGGACATCGTGAGTCTGGCTGGCTTCACACCTCTAAGTTGCGATTGAACATTAATTTATGCATTTTTGCATAACACAAATAGTATTCTTTTCAACACCTTTTGCTATGTCAGCTAAATTTAGCTTTCATAAATACAGTGATCCCTCGTTTATCGCGGTTAATGGAGACCGGAACCCCCCGCGATAAGTGCAAATCCGCGAAGTAGGATTGGCCCCCCTAAGAATTTCCGTATATGTGTGTGTGGGTACCAGAATGTTTAAAATATGTATATTTATACTTTATATATATATATATTTTACTTAAATCTATTTAATTATAAAACCTTAATATTATACATTCACTCTCTCTCATACGATACGTATTATGGTGTTCTACACTCACCAGTTAATTTCGAACAAAACACTAAGATACGCGAGACACAGTTGACAGCATGAACGAGAGTGGCGAGATACAACAAGGGAATAAGCTGGGAGAGGATGCGATGATGCGCAGCCAATCAGCTCACGGGATACTGTACATCCACTCGTGCTCTCATTCGTCGATCTCGCGCCGGGAACCAATCACGTGCCTTGTCTGAAAAATCCACGATGCACTGAGGCCGCGAAACTTGAACCGTGAAGTGGCGAGGGATTACTGTATTCCTTTTGTAGCTAGACAGCCAAAATTGTGTGCTCGGAGTTTTAGGTTTAACATTCATTTTGAAGATTCGAGGGCTTCCTGGCATGTTTATGACCATTCGCCCTCTAATTGTGTGCCAGAACAGCCCGTGTGATGAATTTGGGAATCTTTTTCACGATATCATGAATATATGAATAAGTGTCGACTTCTAAGTCATGTGTTACCGTGTAAATATGCATTCCTCTGTGCATCGATACTGATGTGGATATAACATTTTTTCTGTCTGCAGCTGTCGCTTCCTCTGCAGACTTGGTCTGATGGAGCAAAGGCACTCGGCGCGGCTCGGTGCAAAAAGGCAACAATGCGACCGGTGTGCATTCAGCACGGATCGTCCTGAACATTTGACAAGGCACCAGAAAACTCACACGGGAGAGAAACCCTTCAAGTGCAGTGTGTGTGGGAAGGCGTTTTCAGATTCATCTGCTTTTATAAAACACCAGAGAACACACACGGGAGAGAAACCCTTCAAGTGCAGTGTGTGTGGGAAGGCGTTTTCAGATTCATCTAGTCTTGTAAAACACCAGAGAACACACATGGGAGAGAAACCGTTCAAGTGCACTGTGTGTGGGAAGGCGTTTTCAGATTCATCTGCTCTTATAAAACACCAGAGAACACACACGGGAGAGAAACCCTTCAAGTGCAGTGTGTGTGGGAGGGCGTTTGCACGTTCATCTGCTCTTGTAATACACCAGAGAACACACACGGGAGAGAAACCCTTCAGGTGCAGTGTGTGTGGGAAGGCGTTTGCACATTTATATACTCTTATAACGCATCAGAGAACTCACACGGGAGAGAAACCCTTTAAGTGCAGTGTGTGTGGGAAGGTGTTTTCACAGTCAGCTAATCTTGTAGCACACCAGAGAACACACACGGGAGAGAAACCCTTTAAGTGCAGTGTGTGTGGGAAGGCGTTTTCACAGTCAGCTAATCTTGTAGCACACCAGAGAACACACATGGGAGAGAAACCCTTCAAGTGCAGTTTATGCGGGAAGGCGTTTGCACAGTCATCTGCTCTTGAAAGACACCAGAGAACACACACAGGAGAGAAACCCTTCAAGTGCAGTGTGTGTGGGAAGGCGTTTGCATGTTCATCAGATCGTCATTTACACCAGAGAACTCACACGGGAGAGAAACCCTTCAAGTGCAGTGTGTGTGGGAAGGCGTTTGCACGTTCATCTGCTCTTCATGCACACCAGAGAACACACACGGGAGAGAATCCCTTCAAGTGCAGTGTGTGTGGGAAGGCATTTGCACAGTCATCAAATCTTCAAAGACACCAGAAAACACACAAGCATCAGAAGATCCACAAGGAGTGGAGTCTGAAGGCAGCTTGCGAAAGTCAAAGTGCCGCAATGAGCCCATCCCTCATCAAACAAGAACTGGAAGACAATTCCAGCTTAGACTCTTTTAAAGGTATAGAGGTGAAACGTGAAGAAGTGATGGTTAAGAGTGAAGAAGTGATGGTGAAGAGCGAAAAAGTGAAGGTAAAATGTGAAGATGAAGATTCAACTCCAAAATCGGACCTTCACATCGATGGAGGCAACGTGAAACAGGAGGAGAATTTTGACTGTGAGGCAGAGCGAGGCAACTCCCAGCAGTTTGTGGAAGTGGAGGTATGGGTGGACTTCCTCCGAGACAATACAAAGTCAAATGGAGACCCGGTAGATATGTAAGCCAGTGACGATGTCGCTCCAATAGACGCACTTTTGTGACAGGCTTTTAATGACAAGAATGAAGTTGAACACTCAATTCCTAGGTTCAACCTGCAGAGTAAGAGCGGCCAGTCTGTGTGGACCTGTGTGTTGGGTAGATCTCTAACCAGGAGCGAGAGCCAATACGCTCCCAAGCATTCGCTATGTTATCAATTGCATTTATATGGTGCTTGCTTAATCGCCCCGGCAACTCGGAGTTCTATATTGTTTCTTGTCTCAAACACTCGAAGGGCATCCCCAGGTAGCAGCTGCCCCTATGTGGCACAAGGTGGTGGCCGTGCACCGGCCTGCATGTGGACAAGAGCCTGTCAGTAGGGGGCGATGGTTGATATGGCATCTCAGTTGTGGAGTTTGTAGATAATATTTTTAGAATTTGCTACATTTTGACCCAGATGCCAGCATGCAATGGCCGACTCGTTTTGAATGGTGCATTAGTATGTTGTACATACACTGTTAAGCAGACGGTGTGTATTTTTTTAATTAGCTTCTTGTTAATAGGATGTAACCTAATGCAGTATATTTCAGTGCAGTAATTCAATTTTGTTAATATGCCTGTCAATAAGTTAGACTGAATACTTGTCTGATTGGGTTCGTACATGTAACCTTTTGTCTATAAGAGTCAAACACTGAATAAGTGATGTTAGGACACTGTGTGTTTTTTGAGTAACCTGTACAGATTACTCAGGTGAGACTCATTGTTCTTGTGATACAGGTCAAAGGGTATTTTTGTGTTTTCAGGAAGCATCTCCCTCTGGAGCAACTCATTGTGTTTGAAATAGGGAGCATACTCGGATCATTCATCAGTTACAAGGCATACCACTCAAAAGTTACACGTAGTGGAGATACATTTTCAACAACACAAATTAAAATGTTGTATTCCGTGTTGACGTAGATGTTGTCGATTTAGGACGAGAAATGGTCCTTGCTGATTAACGTCTGGATGTTCACAACCATGGGTTGAAGCAAGCCTGACCGCCTGCGGCGTCCCTCAACCATTTACGGCCTTGGGCCAGGAAAGTCACGAAAAAAATTGTCCACGAACGACGCATTCACGCAAGCACCCGATGCTCCCTTTTGAAGTTTTAACATTAAACAACTTCGAATTGTATATTGTTTTGCATTTGATATTTGTATTTCATTAAAAGCTGATATCATTTTACATCTGGAAGACTTCATTGAAAACGACATTTCGTGTGAATTTTCTCTAGTCGTTAAGTAGATGGCCTTACCAGGGTTTGGTTCGATGCGGACTTTCACCTGGTTGGGATCGCGGGGTGGAGAACAGGTCCCTGCGGGGTGGGCTGGTAGGAACGAATAACCAAAGAATATAAACATAATGTATTATTACACTTGTTTAGCCAGGAAAGCCTCACTGAGTATAAAGGTTTTTGTAGGGTCCTGTCAAGTGTTTGCAGTAGGGGGTGATGTTGCTACACCGAATCAGACGATACGAAGGGAGAGTTTGAGGCCTAGTTCTAGGCTTTAGGCCGCTGTGAGTTAATTTTTAAATTAAATGTTTTAATTAAAAGCTATCTCAGGGAATGTTACACTTGTTTAGCCAGGAAAGCGTCACTGAGTCTAAAGGTTTTTGTAGGGTCCTGCCAAGTGTTTGCAGTAGGGGGCGATGTTGCTACACGGACGGACGATATAATCTATTGTAGGCTGGTTCACTTCGTTCCTACCAGTATAAGGCGACATAGAGCTGGCCGTGCCAGAAGACCGCCGTCTGCAGATCGATTCCAACGCGATTGAACGTCTGTCCCTGCGCCTCCGTCGTTCATGTAGGAGGCACGTAGGTTTGCAGCGCCTCCTGCATGAAAACGACGGAAAGTGCAGCGTTCATCACAGTTAAAGTGCGCTTATATAAGAGTACTCGCGGGAAGTACCCGACATTGCCCGGGCGAAAAAGACACACACATGGACTTAGACACACGAACATGGACCCACACACACAAACACATCTACTTACACAGACATTCGTTTCCGATACACACACATGGAGTTACATATGCAAATCGACGTACACACATACAGGGACTCGCACGCAGACTCTCACACTCACATGGACCTAAGCACACATGGATTTACACACATATCGACTAAGAGATACACACATGGACTTACACACACATGAACTCACACACACATGGACTCACACACATACATATCTTGAGGTGCAAATGACGACGCGGAGGCAGCTCTTCAGTTAAGGGCTTGCGCCAGTTATTTATTAAGAGTTTCGGGTAACTTCCCCAGGGGTAAGTGTCCTTCACTAGGTTTCTTCACACGAACCTTCACTCTGTCTCTTCCTAGCTCGGCGAGCTCCAGGGCTCTCTCCCTCGAGTCGGATCGGGGGTACAACCAACACTGACTGGGGAGAGCAGCACCTTCTATTACTACGGCCGGCTTGTCTCCAGACTCCCTGAGCTCTACCCCTGGCTGGCTCTTCAACCGTTCTCTATCTCGGGCTCCCACAGTGACCCTGCTTTCGACACGAGGTCCCCCTTAAGTACCTCGAGGAGGCATGACGTCATCGCCTAGCCCAGCGCACATGACGTCACGTCCATGACATCGCACTGGACAGGGAACATGATGTCACATCCCCATATTACTCCTCTACACATAGACTCATACACATTGGCCTACACACACATACGGACTCACACAGATATGGACTTTAGATACACACACATGGAGTTATACACACATCGACTCAAACACATTGACTTACACAAATATGAACAAAGATCAAAAACTTCGATTTAAAGCTTTCGTGACTGCAGAGATTCATCTTCTTGGTTCTTTCGGTAAAGTCACGTAGAAGGAAAATAATAAAATAATAATAAAAATAAAAACGTAATAAAATAATTCTCACGACGTTTCGGCCACAACGCAAGCAGCCGTCCTCAGGTGGAGAACAGGTCTGTCGAGAGGACGACTGCATGTGTTGTGGCCGAAACGTCATGAGAATAATTTTATTACGTTTTTATAAAATGTTTATTATTATTTTATTATTTCCATTCTACGTGACTTTACCGAAAGAACCAAGAAGATGAAAGATCAAAGATCCCCCGTAAAGCCTTAAAAGACTGTAGGGGCAAGTGCTGTTAGCGAGCACCTATGGACAACAACAACAACAACCGCCATTCGCCACTAAGTGGCGGTGACGTCACCACGACGCTTGTGCCAGGCCAAGTGCACCTTGAGGCCACGTGAAGTGTCGAACGCCCGCTGGCAGGAGGTCACGGGGCAGACCCAGGTGCCACGGGTCGACTGACCGAGATGACCGAGATGACTGGCTGATGCACCACCTGTGCCCTCTACTGTACCAACTTGCTGTGCTTTAGCCACCCGGCGCTCCGCTCGTTGTTGTGAGCGTCGCTCCTCCGCCCTCCGTTGTTGTTGGAGGGCGACTGCCTCCAACTGCTCAGTAGCGTCCTTCACGAGCCTCCTCCACTGAGGCCGATCTTGACACCGCTGGTACCAGTCATCGGAAAGTCCACTCAGCTCCACGTCCTCCTGTACCACATCACTCCATCTCTTCTCTAGCCCGTGCCGCGCCCGTTTAGCCCCCTTGATCCGGCCGAACAAAAGCTGTTTAGGCATGCGGTGGCTGGGCATGCGGGCTACATGACCCAGCCAACGCAGCCTTGCCTGCCGGAGGAGCTCACTGATGGGACTTTGCCCAGATCTTTCAAGGACTTGTGAGCTCCTCACACAATCCAGCCTGGTTAAACCCAGGATGGATCGTAGGCAGGCCAGCCTAAATGTTTCCAACCGGCGAAGATGCTCCATTAGGGGGGTCCACGTTTCGCAAGCGTAGAGAAGGGAGGGAATGACCGTGGCCGAGAAGACCTGAAGCTTCGTGCGGAGCGACAGACCAGGTAGCTTCCACACAGCGTTACGCAACCGATGAAAAGATATTGCCGCTCGACTGATTCGGAGTGAGACCTCTGCTGATAAACTGGAGCCGGTCATAAGCACACTGCCCAGGTATGGGAAACTCTCAACTCTCTCCACAACTGCCCCATCACCGATTGGGAGTTGTGGGGGTGGAGTGTCCGATGGTACAAAATACCCAGGCAGGTGCTTAGTTTTGGTGGGGCTGATGGTAAGGCCCCACCTCTTAGTGGCACGCTCCAGTCTCAGCAGCAGCGTCTCCAACTCCTCTTCTGAATGAGCAGCTATTACCAAATCATCAGCATACATAACGTGGTTGACCAATAGGGAGCCAACCCTTGATCGCACCCGGGCGTCGATCAGCGCTCATTATATCTGTACCAAATGGAAATTCCCCCCCGGTACAGCTATTAAAGGCTTCACGAACTACGCAGTCGAAATAGATGTTAAATAATGTGGGAGCCAGAGGACATCCCTGTCGCACCCCAAGGTGTACAGGGAAAGGCTCCGACTCCCGGCCACGTAGTTTTACCCGTGCCCGCTCACCATCATGAAGGTCCTTAATGATCGTGAGCAGAGGGTCAGGGACTCCGAAAGCACGAAGAACAACCCAGAGCCCAGTCCTACTGATGGTATCATAGGCCTTGACCAGGTCAATAAAGCAGAGATGTAGGTCTTTTTGGAATTCCCTAAACCTCTGCTGTAGCAGATGGACAGAAAATATGGCATCTGTGCAGGACCGCCCTTTCCTGAAACCGCATTGGGGCTCCGCAAGCCTCTTCTCAGCGTGCCTAGCAAGGCGATGTTGAATAATCCTCGCCAGGACCCACACTGAGGAGTGAGATGCCCCTGTAGTTGTTACAGTCGGTGCGGTCCCCCTTCTTAAAGAGGGGAACCACCAGGGCATCCTTCCAGTCCTGCGGAACCCGTCCAGCGGTCCAGACTGTTGTTATGATGTCATATAGGGCAGTCTGTGCACAAACGCCACCCTCCCTCAGCATTTCGCTTGGGAGATCATCTCTGCCCGGTGCCTTTCCTGGTCTCAGACTCCGGATCGCCCTCAGTACTTCCTCAACAGCTGGCACCTCAGCCAGCCACTCACAGGGGGTGACCTCTTCCAATATTTGAGGCACCGCAGCCTCAGCAGGGTTATCCCCACTTTGTGCCATGATGTTTTCCTGGCTGAGAGATTTCCCTCCCCCAGGACCTCACAGAAATGCTCAGCAAATCTGCAAACCTGTTCCTGGGGGTCGGAGATTGGATCACCGTTTTTTCCTCTAATGATGGTAATAGGTGTGGCGCTGCAGGTTACTTTTTTTGATGGAGTTAAATAGTGATTTGTGATCGCGGGCCACTGAGGCAGACTCCATCTCCTCAGCAACCCTAACACATATGGACTAACACACATACACATCGACGTACATACACACATCAACTGACACACATAGACACACACACACACAGTGACTTACACACTCACATGAAGCCATGCACACACTTGCCCTAACACACACCCAGCGACTGACACACACACATGGACGAATATGCACACTTGGACTTACACACACATCGACGTACACAGACATCTGGCGTTGCCCGGTCAAAAAGGACACAGACACACCGATTACACACACACATGGACCTAAACACACACACATCGACTCACACACACATCGACTTACACAGCAATCCCCGATGATGCCACAGCTCGAGCAATTTTCTCTCGCTGGTGAGCCTTTGCGAGGAGCAGTTTGAAAACAAAGGTCTTCCCAGTACTGGCAGGTGCATCAATGATACAATTGACTCGATTTGTAGTCTCAATGTCTTTCAAGATTTCCCTGTAGGCTTCTATTTGTGCATCCAACAGCTTTGGTTAATTGTCCTAAATAAATGTAAGAATCTGTAAAGCATAATAGCATATTTCACGTAGGATCTCTTGAGCAAGGGCATGCAGGTTGTCCCTGTAGGGTGTTGGTAGTCCCATAGACGTGAAGTATTTTACAGCAATGGAGTGCAGTTTGTCGTGAAGGAGGATGAGGGCCTGTTTGAAGGTAACATCAGAAAAGTTGACGTCCAAGTTTGTATTTTGTTATTGAGCTCCGTGGAGGATGTCCTCTCTCATGCCCTCTTTGTATTTTTGCCAGAGTCCCTTGGGGATAGATGGGCTGCAAACTTGAAGATTTATGCAGAAGAGCAATGTCAGTTGTAAAGGGGACTGACCAACAGAAGCTTCTGTCATAGCTTTATGAATATGGTGATCATGCGCAATAATTGCACGAAGATTGCAAGCTTCGCTGTATGTTTGAAAGACAACTCGTTCCACTGTTTATATGTCTTGGAAAGATTCGTGCCATTTGGCAACATGGAGAAGCATTGGGAGAAAGTAGCACTGCTGATTGTTGGGATAAACTGTGTAGACTCGTCCTAAGGCATCCGATTCACCGTCAGCAGCACTTCGCTTCCATTTTTTTAGCAGTCCATGTATAGTAGGAGGGAACTTAATGGTAGAGCAAGTTGGCAGCAAATGGGTCACTTGGGCACAAAACCAAGAACGCCATCAGGGTGGTATCTTGTGGAGCCAGGGCTGTTGTTGGGCATTTCCTTTGGTGACATAGATGCGTTGACCATTTTGGAGGTGAAATGCCAAATGGACGACTGTGGGGGAACGGTCATGGATGGGGAAGCCAAGAATTCTGCAAATGGCCTCATTGTTGCTGATGTATCTTCCTTGGAAAAAAGGTTTGGGTCATGCACACTTTGCCCATCTGTTTTGTAAGGCAAAAACAACCATGTCAGAGCCTTTTTACTTTAAAATGTCATGGTGAAATTTCCCACTTTTTTACGTAATATATAGGATACTAAGGCTAAGCACACCCGAGGATTGCACTTTTGTTGAAAAATGAAGCTGTAAAATTTGGCCATTTTTGGCCAAAAACGGCATAGGTTAGTATGCTGATTTTCTTTATTGGGACGTGAACATTTCATCATAAAATGTTCCACTTTTAATCTAATACATGGCATACTAAGGGTAAATACAATTGATGAATGAACTTTTTGTTGAAAAAGCTATGAAAATTTGGCTTATTTTGGTTAAAACCGGTATAAGTAAGTACCCGATTTTCCTTTTGGGACGTGACAATTTAATCGAGAAATTTCTCACTTTTAAAGTAATATAGAGCATACTAATGCTCAACAAAATGGAGGAATTCACTTTTTCTTGCAAAATCTAGCTATGAAAATGTAGCAAATTTTGGCCAAAAACGGCATTGGTAAAGTATGCCGATTTGATCTTTTTGCTTAAAATTTCATGGTGAAATGTCCCACTTTTAATGTAATACATAGGCTACTCAGGCTCAATACAACCGAGGAATGCACTATTTATTTAAAAATACAGCTGCAAACATTCGTTCAATTTTAGCTAAAGACGGCAGAGGTTAGTATGTCGATTTTCTGTTTGGAACGTGAACATTTCATCGTGAAATTTTCCGCTTTTAATCTAATACATAGCATACTAAGGCTAAATACAATGGAGCAATGCACCTTTGTCGACAAATAAGGCTGTGAAAGTTTGGCCAATTTTGGCCGATTTAATTTTTTTACTTTAAAATTTCATGGTGAAATTTCCCACTTTTTAACGTTATAGGATACTAAGGCTAAGCACACCCGAGCATTTCACTTTTGTTGAAAAATGAAGTTGCAAATATTTGGCCATTATTGGCCAAAAACGGCATAGGTTAGTATGCCGATATTCTATATTGAGACGTGCACATTTCATCATAAAATGTTCCACTTTTAATCTAATACATAGCATACTAAGAGTAAATAAAATTGATGAACTTTTTGTTGAAAAGTTATAAAAATTTGGCTTATTTTGGTTAACACCGGCATAAGTATTCCCGATTTTATTTATGGGACGTGAAAATTTTATCGTGAAATTTCCCACTTTTAAAGTAATATAGAGCATACTAATGCCTAACAAAATGGAGGAATTCACTTTTTCTTGAAAAATCTAGCTATGAAAATTGAGCAAATTTTGGCCGAGAACGGCATAGGTTAACTATGCCGATTTGATCTTTTTACTTCAAATTTCATGGTGAAATTTCCCACTTTTAATGTAATATATAGGCTAGTCAGGCTCAACACAACCGAGGAATGCACTTTTTGTTGCAAAATATAGCTGTAAAAATTCGTTCAATTTTAGCCAAAAACGGCAGAGGTATGTCGATTTTCTGTTTGGGACTTGAACATTTCATAGTGAAATTTTCCACTTTTAATCTAATACATGGCATACTAAGGCTAAATACAATGGAGGAATTAACTTTCGTCCTAAAATAAAGCCGTCAAAGTTGGGCTTATTGAGCCTAAAAATGACAGTATGCCGATTAACTTTTTTACATTCGAAAATTTCATGCATGAAATTCCCAACTTTTTAACGTAATATATTGGCTACTCAGGCTAAACACAACCAAGCAATGCACTTTTCGTTGAAAAATAAAGCTCGAAAATTTTGATCAATTTTGCCAAAAAAACGGCCTAGGTTAGTATGGCGATTTTCCTTTTATGGACGTGAAAATGTCATCGTGAAATGTCGCCAGCGGTGTGCTGGAGAGCCAAGCCACGACATCTACAAAGTGCTGCTCATAGCGAGTAGCAGCACCGGTAGAGGTCGTCACGGCACACACAGAGGGGGTGGGTGGCCAGCACCACGCCCGGCCGCCTTTGTCTCCCCAGTGCTGGCGATGTTGACACACCACACCGGGGACTCGTTTGAGGCCGTTTCGACACTGCCGCTCCCCTTCTGTCAACAAACTTGAACTCTGACTCCGCTCTCTGACGTCACCGCTCAGCGTGACCTCATCGGCATCAAACGCCAGGGGGAGGTGTACCCCGCAAGTGACGTCATGTCACCTGCTGCCGCGTGACGTCACGAGGGACCAGGAAGTTGCCGCTCCGCCCGTGAACTGAAATCCGAGGTGAGAAATTATCATCTCGGTTGTGGTGGTGGTGGTTTTGGTGGTGGTTGGTTGTGGTGGTTCTTGTGGTTGTGGTGGTGGTGGTTGTGGTGGTTGTGGTGGTGGTGGTGGTGGTGGTGGTGGTTGTGGTGGTGGTGGTGGTTGTGGTGGTGGTGGTGGTGGTGGTTGTGGTGGTGGTGGTGGTTGTGGTGGTGGGTGTGGTGGTTGTGGTGGTGGTGGTGGTTGTGGTGGTGGGTGTGGTGGTTGTGGTGGTTGTGGTGGTGGTTTTGGTGGTGGTTGGTTGTGGTGGTTGTGGTGGTGGTTGTGGTGGTTGTGGTGGTGGTTGTGGTGGTTGTGGTGGTGGTGGTTGTGGTGGTTGTTGTGGTGGTGGTGGTTGTGGTGGTAGTTGTGGTGGTGGTGGTTGTGGTGGTGGTTGTGGTGGTGTTTGTTGTGGTGGTGGTTGTGGTGGGGGTGATGTTGGTGGTTGTGGTTGTTGTGGTGGTGGTTGTGGTGGTGGTGGTTGTGGTGGTGGTGGTGGTGGTGATGATGGTGCTTGTGGTGGTGGTGGTTGTTGTTGTGGTTGGTGTGTACCGAGGTAGAGCCTCTCTCGCTCTCTCGTAGGGATGTCAATTGAGTAGCAGCGAGCATGGAAGCGATGTCCAGGTTGGAACTTTACAACGCGGGGCCTTGCCTCCTGCCCTCGCCTGATGGCGTTTGCTTCAATTCTCTCGCTTAGAGTTGTGTTTTTTGTTTGCGTTCCGACTGCAGGTATTGTGGTCTATACAAACATGACTCCTCGTAAAAAATGTGTCAGTTTTCTTGCCAGATAGAAGAATAAAAAACCAATTATATCTCGCTTAAGTTGAATTGGTCTTCACCCGGCTCCCCACTTTGTAACTTTGTTTTACTTTAAATATTAACACAGTTTTTATTTTTACCAGGCCAAGCCCGGTTTAGCTGCTGTACCGCTCTTGTTTTCAAAAGCGACCTGCCCACAACAATAACAAGGTGAGGCTCGTCAACAGCGTGGCGGTGTTCACTCTGGACGCGTGGCTGTGTTCACTCTAGACGCGTGGCGGTGTTCACTCTAGACGCGTGGCGGTGTTCACTCTAGACGTGTGGCGATGTTCACTCTAGACGCGTGGCGGTCTTCACTCTGGACGCGTGGCGGTGTTCACTCTCTAAATGCGGAGGGGAAACTGGGGGATCGGGAAGGAATTTCACTTGACCACGGGTAGAGAGAGACACGCAGCATCGGCTGTGACAGCCAAAATTGTGTGCTCGGAGTTTTGGGTTAACATTCATTTTGAAGATTCGAGGGCTTCCAGGCATGTTTATGACAATTCGCCCTCTCATTGTGTGCCAGAACAGCCCGTGTGATGAATTTGGGAAACTTTTTCACTATATCATGAATATATGAATAAGTGTCGACTTATAAGTCATGTGTTACTGTGTAAATATGCATTCCTCTGTGCATCGATACTGACGTGGATATAACTTTTTTTCTGTCTGCAGCTGTCGCTTCCTCTGTCGAATTTGTCTGATGGAGCAAAGGCACTCGGCGCAACTCGGTACGACAAGGCAACAATGCGACCGGTGTGCATACAGCACGGATCGTCCTGAACATTTGACACGACACAAGAGAACTTACACAGCAGAGAAACTCTTCAAGTGCAGTGCGTGCGGCAACACGTGTTTAGATTCATATACTCTTGTAAAACACCAGAAAACACACACGGGAGAGAAACCCTTCAGGTGTAGTGTGTGTGAGAAGGCGTTTGCACGTTTATCTACTCTTGTAGCACACCAGAGAACACACACGGGAGAGAAACCCTTCAAGTGCAGTGTGTGTGGGAAGGCATTTGCATGTTTATCTACTCTTATAACACACCAGAGAACTCACACGGGAGAGAAACCCTTCAAGTGCAGTATGTGTGGGACGGCGTTTGCACAGTCATCTGTTTTTAAAAAACACCAGAGAACACACACAGGAGATAAACCCTTCAAGTGCAGTGTGTGTGGGAAGGCGTTTGCACAGTCATCTGCTCTTGTAGCACACCAGAGAACACACACGGGAGAGAAACCCTTCAAGTGCAGTGTGTGTGGGAAGGCGTTTGCACATTCATCTGCTCTTGTAAAACACCAGAGAACACACACGGGAGAGAAACCCTTCAAGTGCAGTGTGTGTGCGAAGGCGTTTGCACGTTCATCTGCTCTTCATGCACACCAGAGAACACACATGGGAGAGAAACCCTTCAAGTGCAGTGTGTGCGGCAAGGCGTTTGCACAGTCATCAAATCTTCAAAGACACCAGAGAACACACACAGGAGATAAACCCTTCAAGTGCAGTGTGTGTGGGAAGGCGTTTGCACAGTCATCTGCTCTTGTAGCACACCAGAGAACACACACGGGAGAGAAACCCTTCAAGTGCAGTGTGTGTGGGAAGGCGTTTGCACATTCATCTGCTCTTGTATTACACCAGGGAACACACACTGGAGAGAAACCCTTCAAGTGCAGTGTGTGTGGGAAGGCGTTTGCACGTTCATCTGCTCTTCATGCACACCAGAGAACACACACGGGAGAGAATCCCTTCAAGTGCAGTGTGTGTGGGAAGGCATTTGCACAGTCATCAAATCTTCAAAGACACCAGAAAACACACAAGCATCAGAAGATCCACAAGGAGTGGAGTCTGAAATCAGCTTGCGAAAGTCAAAGTGCCGCAATGAGCCCATCCCTCATCAAACAAGAACCGGAAGACAATTCCAGCTTAGACGCTTTTAAAGGTATCGAGGTGAAACGTGAAGAAGTGATGGTGACGAGTGAAGAAGTGATGGTGAAGAGCGAAAAAGTGAAGGTAAAATGTGAAGATGAAGATTCAACTCCAAAATCGGACCTTCACATCGATGGAGGCAACGTGAAGCAGGAGGAGAATTCTGACTGTGAGGCAGAGCGAGGCAACTCCCAGCAGTTTGTGGAAGTGGAGGTATGGGTGGACTTCCTCCGAGACAATACAAAGTCAAATGGAGACCCGGTAGATATGTAAGCCAGTGACGATGTCGCTCCAATAGATGCACCTTTGTGACAGGCTTTTAATGACAAGAATAAAGTTGAACACTCAATTCCTAGGTTCAACCTGTAGAGTAAGAGCGGCCAGTCTGTGTGGACCTGTGTGTTGGGTAGATCTCTAACCAGGAGCGAGAGCCAATAAGCTCCCAAGCATTCGCTATGTTATCAATTGCATTTATATGGTGCTTGCTTAATCGCCCCGGCAACTCGGAGTTCTATATCGTTTCTCGTCTCAAACACTCGAAGGGCATCCCCAGGTAGCAGCTGCCCCTATATGGCACAAGGTGGTGGCCGTGCACCGGCCTGCATGTGGACAAGAGCCTGTCAGTAGGGGGCGATGGTTGATGTGGCATCTCAGTTGTGGAGTTTGTAGATAATGTTTATAGAATTTGCTACATTTTGATCTAGATGCCAGCATGCAATGGCCGACTCGTTTTGAATGGTGCATTAGTATGTTGTACATACACTGTTAAGCAGACGGTGCGTATTTTTTTAACTAGCTTCTTGTTAATAGGATGTAACCTAATGCAGTATATTTCAGTGCAGTAATTCAATTTTGTTAATATGCCTGTCAATAAGTTAGACTGAATACTTGTCTGATTGGGTTCGTACATGTAACCTTTTGTCTATAAGAGTCAAACACTGAATAAGTGATGTTAGGACACTGTGTTTTTGGAGTAACCTGTACAGATTACTCAGGTGAGACTCATTGTTCTTGTGATACAGGTCAAAGGGTATTTTTGTGTTTTCAGGAAGCATCTCCCTCTGGAGCAACTCATTGTCTTTGAAATAGGGAGCACACTCGGATCATTCATCAGTTACAAGGCATACCATAGTGGAGATACATTCTCAACAACACGAATTAAAATGTTGTATTACGTGTTGACGTAGATGTTGTCGAATTAGGACGAGAAATGGTCCTTGCTGATTAACGTCTGGATGTTCACAACCATGGGTTGAAGCAGGCCTGACCGCCTGCGGTGCCCCTCAATCATTTACGGCCTTGGGCCAGGAAAGTCACGAAAAAAATTGTCCACGAACGACGCATTCACGCAAGCACCCGATGCTCCCTTTTGAAGTTTTAATATGAAACAACTTTGAATTGTATATTGTTTTGCATTTGATATTTGTATTTCATTAAAAGCTGACATCATTTTACATCTGGAAGACTTCATTGAAAACGACATTTCGTGTGAATTTTCTCTAGTCGTTAAGTAGATGGCCTTACCGAGGTTCGGTTCGATGCGGACTTTCACCTGGTTGGGATCGCGGGGTGGAGATAAGGCGACACAGAGCTGGCCGTGCCAGAAGACCGCCGTCTGCAGATCAATTCCAACGCGATCAAACATCTGTCGCTGCTCCTCCGTCGTTTATGCAGGGGTGTTGTATATGTTGGATTATGAAATTTTGATGAAAATAATAAAAAGTAATAATTTTCCAAAAAATGCGCAAAGCGCATTAATTATGTTAATGTGTGAGTTAATATGCATAAATTATGGTAATGCGTGTAATTATATGCATAAATTATGATAATCACGGAGATAACCGTTGTAATTTATGCGGATGCTTGCGATTATGTAAAAGTGTGCAGTTGTGATAATTAAGCTTAGCTTCGTTTATCCAGTGTTATATCAATCAGGATAACACGATTTTCATCGATTAAACGTTTACTGATTATCCTAGTGTGTGTTATAATATTTTAGGTCTCCAGTTTCAGATCTCATCACAGGCTACAGTTCTCAAGAATAAGACAGTTTTGCATGGACTTGGAAGGAACACTCGTTATGCTTCTGTGATAACAATTTTATTCTAAACAAACACGTGACATTCTATCATGCAGGTCAAACATGCGTCAATAATTCATTTGCGAGACTATGCATTTAACTAAATTGAATAACCAAACTCTTATGCATTTGCGAGATTATGCATTCGACTAATATGAATAACTAAAACTCTTATGCAATTACGAGATTATGCATTTGACTAAAATGAATGAATAAACACTTATGCATTTGCGAGACTATGCATTTGACTAAAATGAATGAATAAACACTTATGCATTTGCGAGAATATGCATTTAACTAAATTGAATAACTCAAAACTCTTATGCATTTGCGAGATTATGCATTAACTAATATGAATGAATAAACACTTATGCATTTGCGACATTATGCATTTAACGAACTGAATGACTAAAAACCCTCCTAACAATCGTAACCTCTACCTTTCCACCAGACATCTCATTAGTTCGCCCATGTATCGATCACAATCGGCGACTGGCCGAGTTTGAAAACAAGCATGACACACTTCCTATGGCGGTAATAAAAAGCACTTATTGTATCCCAGAGGCGAAAGTATATGTCAATAGATTCATCGGCAAGTATAAAATATTTTTAACGGAATGTTTGATATAATGGTGGGTGAGGGCGTGTATGTGGGAGAGCGAATCTGGCTCTGTTTTAATTAATGCTTCGGCGAGACTCTATGACAAAGGAAACTGGTTTGACAAGATATTCTCTCTCTGTGTACGGTCGATTCGTAATGAGGATTTCGAGAGGTTGAGTTTGCCTCGACGAGTCTATTGATCGCCTATGTGATGAGCGGAACAAGGGAAAGGCACGGAAAACAACCTCACTCTTATAACCGACGGACTCTTAATCACTCGATGGGCCACGATTCCTCATGGCCAGCTGATGGTTCATGTAGTTGATAATCAGTCTTCCGATAATTGTGTAGGGTTGATATGATGGTAAGGACGAAATAGATAGTCTCAAAGGGGGGTGGGCGTCGACGCGAGCGCATGTGAGCCTACGTGAGGGAAGTTGTGGGTACGAACGACTTTCGGAGAAGGGCCCTCTGGCTGACGCAGCTGCGGTGATCGGCTGCTTCAGACTCCTCCCTCGGCTGAGCCCGTACGAAGATTGACGGCGCGGCTGCGCTCGTTTGCGTGGTCAGGGGAGCACGTGTGTGGTGGCGGCAAGGGAACTGGCTCGTTCACTCTTGTGCGGCAGGCGAGCACCTCGGCGATGCACGTCAAGGCGATGCACGTCAAGGCGACGCACGTCGCCACCCCACGAGCCTCGTCCTTCTGGATGACGAGAGCTTCTTCGTTGGCGGCGACGAGGAGAGATGGCTGTCGCCCTGGAGATCTCTGGTGGGGCATTAGCCCGGAGACGAGATGAGATGTAGGCCGGAGCTCGTGAAGATCTGTGGTGGAGCCGAAGCCCTGGCGACGAGATGGGGCCCAGAGCCCCCTGACGATCTGCTTTGGATGGATTTTTCTTCGGCTTATATTGGGAAATTCCACTCAGTTTCCCGAGTTGTTCAAAAGGCTGTGTCATAAAACATTCCTGTGGGGGTGAACCATCTGCGTCCATGTGTGTGTCGTGTGCGTGTCCGTCCGTGTGTTTCGCGTGCGTGTTTGTCCGTGTGTTTATTAGCTTTGAAGACACAGCTGTGTAATCATTCTGAAAGGGGGGGGGGGGGGTGGGGGCCTCGCGACGGCGCCACCTAAGTTATTCATTAACCAGACCGATGATTCGCGTCGAGTTATATATAAAAAAAAATATTCGAATCCATGTTTTTGTTACTGAATAATATTTGTCGCGAAAACCTACGCGTTAAGCGAGCTTAATTATTCCCTCCCTTGCTCGGGGATCATATCTTTTGTCTCACACAGCTTAAGTTGTTTTGGTTTGGAAGTTGAAATGCGACTTATTTCCATTATGCCCAAGTTATGCCGAAACCGTGTTCACGATGTTTCATCGTGACCCGATCTCCCATGGAAATGTTATTTGCTTGCGTGGGCAATTTTTGCTGTCCGTGTTGCGGGGAGACAAAGACGGTTGTTTCCACGGTGGAAGCACCTGGCGCATGTGCTTATTTATTTATTCGAAGGCGTGTGTTAATTTCCTTTGAGCCATTGCCCCAACCTTTATGGGTGTCATTTCCTGGCTTTGTGCCTGCGTGTGGAGATCCTCTCGGAAAGACAAAGACGGCCGTATTGCTCGCTTCTCATGGGGTGTTGCGTTTGGTTAATTTTGAGAGCCTTCTCCGCCCTTAGCTCCTCTAGGATATCCACTTTAATTCCGTACTTATTATTTGACTTCTTGTGATTATTTAATCTGATATCCCGGCTAGGAATTTTGTTTTGGAGCGACCCAAGCCATAATTATTCTTTGATGCTTCGGCCCGGCCGCGTAGAAATTATTTAAGGTAAATAATGTCCGTATTTAATTAATAATGATGGGTCGTGATTCTGGTGCAGACTGTAGTCTGATTTCCAATTGGAGTGAGGATAGATTCTGTTTGCTTAATCTTCATGGCTAAGTTGGTAACTTTGTGTATCTAACATGGTTCAAAGACCCGTCTGTGCTTTTTGTCGTCAATGCTGTTTCTTTGTTAAGAATATAATTATCTCTTCCTCCGTGGTGCCTGGTTTTGTAACGAAAGGGTGTCATTCTAACCCCCCCCCCCCCCCGCTTGCAATTCTCCCCTCTCTTGTTCCTCTTGTGTGAAATTCGGGGAGTTTTTATGACCTTGATTGCCCTCTTTCATGCCCTCTTTCCTTTGAAATGAGGTATGCGCGCATCTGT